TTTCCCTAAAATCACCGTGGTTTTTCCAACAGATATCTACCCGAGGCCAAAGCCACCACCGCCTCGTCCACAGCCCGGCCATTCCGACAACAGTGGAGGTAAGAGTGGTGATGATTGGAATTAATACGATTTCATTCTTTTTTTACGGCCGAGTAATAACCCATGGTGTGTATGTCCCACGGTTTCTTGATCCAGTCATCCACCGATGGGCACCCAGGGTTGCTTCCATATCTTGGCTATTGTGAACAAGGCTGTAATGAATATAGGGGTCCATCTGTCTCTGCAAATGAGTGTTTTGGGTTTCTTTGGAGAAATACCCAGGAGTGGAATTGCTGGGTCATACGGTAGTTCTAGCTTTAATTTTATTTTTTAAAAAATTAAATATTTTTTCAATCACAATTGGCATTCAATAGGATATTAGTGTCAGGTGTCCGGCGTAGTGGTTAGACATTTATATAATTGATGCAGTGATCCCCCCCGGATAAGTCTAGTCCCCATCAGGCACCATCCATTGTCATTACAATATTATTGACTCTGTCCCTTATGCTGTCCTTTACATCCCTGTGACTGTTTTTATAACTATCAATGTATACTTCCTAATCCTTTCCCCCTTTTCACCCAGCCTCCCACCGTCTTCACTCAATTTTAAAACGCTTTTAAAGCTGAGGGAAAGTCTGCATGGGGTGAAATGAACTGTTGCAGAGGAAATGGTTGAGTACGGTTGAGCAGTGTCCACAGAGCTTTGTGTGAGATGTCTGTAAACAGGGCACAACTCACAAGACCACTCAGGAGTCGACGCCAACTGTGTGAACAATGCCTGGCCGATTTTGGTGATGGAGGGTTTGCCCCTAAATTTATCCCCCAGGGAGGCATGCACTGAATTCCGTTGGCTGGAATGCTCTAAACAAACCCCGCCTCCAAAAATCTCTTGTGATTCACAGTTTCCTCCAAGACGTTCACAAGGGGCCGTCATCAACACCGTTCTCTGCTCAAACACGGTTCAGGAGACACTGGTCTAAACGAAACAAAATAGACCTCTGGAGCTCCCCAGAGCGCAAGCCGCCTGCACCGGCTGCTGTAGGCTGCTGGGGTGCACGTGAGCGACAGAGCAGGTAGCACACCTGCTGCATTTACAACCAGCACAGCCAGACCCCTTCTGTGGCCTGGCATCCTGCCCTCGTGCGCTTATAAACCCCTAAGCATTTAAATGAGCAGTTACTATGTGCCTGGTTTGCTGCACGGGGGGCTCGGCGGTGACCAAATAGGCTGTGCCCCACACCGCCTGGTAGGGGGGCAGGGGATACGTGGGTGGGTACGTATGGAAGCTGAGGCCCCACTCAGGGTGATGCAGGTCCTCTTAGCAGGAACCTCAGGCAGGACAGATGTCAGGGAGTGAGGGAATGACAGGAGCAATGGGCCCAGGGGTCATGGGCCACCTTTCTCTGCTCCCTGCTTAGCATTTGCTTTTAAACTCTCAGATGCACAGGGGCCTGTCTAGCTGATGGGTTCCCCTCAGGCTCTCCTCCCTGGCAGTGTGTTCCCCGGTGCCCCAGGCGTCCTGCAAAGGGCCTGCCGGCTGGGCATCTCGTGCTCCGTCAGCTGCAAGCATATCCCTCCTGTGGACCTGGGTTCCAAGGCGGCCGTTTGGAGAGCGTTTTGGGAATGGCCTGTGCTTTACCCCACAGGTTACTTCAATGACGGGAACCACGATGACGGCCGCTACCCGCCCAGGCCCAGGCCACCAGCAGGTACATGCGTGCATGCAGGCTTCTCCCAGGGACAGGGGAGGGTGTCACAGAGGCCGCCGTCCCCAGGTTGGGCGCACAGCGGATGCCAGTGGAAGGTGGGGGTCCATATCGGCCCCGTCCAGCCCTGCGTTTTGGGGTGTGGGCCGTGTGTCTGTCCACTCTGGAAGTTTGTGACGTGGACGGGACTGGCAGTGGCACAGATTTCATTGAAAAGTGGTGGTTGTGTGTCTGCAAAGGTGTGTGTGTATCTATGTATATGCGAACCTTTACACATACAGGTAAATAGATACCTTTATAGGTGTGTGTGCACACCTGTCTTTCTATAGGTGTGTGTGTGTGTGTGTGTGTGTGTGTACACACATACCACCAGGGGCGCCAAAAAAATGTATCCAAGTGGACACTTTGGTCAACATTGCTCAAGCCGTAGTTCGTCGTCATCAGAAGTGTCTGCACGCTGATTGGAACCACTCTGAGCACTTGTCATTGCAGACGTCACATGTGACTTGTATTCATCTTTTTTAATTGATATATATGGAGTATGACAATTTTAATACAGATTTTTCCTTTCTTAATATGTGTAGACGTTTTTTGGCACCCCCTGTATATACATGTATATACATAGCTTTAAGTACGTATCTCTGTGTCTTTTTTGTAACCACTTATTTTTATTGCAACATAGCTGACACACAATGTCGTGTAAGTTTAAGAGGCACAAAGTGTGGATGTGACACATGTATGTATTGCAATGTGACATCACGGTGGTGCCTGCCCCACCTCACATAATTATCTTT